CTTGAGCCTACTTCCATACTTTGTAGTGGTGAGAGCCATCTGGACATGGTCCAATGTGCTACTTGCTTGCAGCTAAGAGCTTGGCTCCTAAGCCAGACTGGGGTGGGCCTACAGCCAGGCAGAAGCTGAATTTAAATATGAAATCTCTTCAGGTGACTGTGAGCAAGCCAGGCCAGCCATGGGCAACAGAACAGGGGCAAATTAATGATTGGATCACGAGACAAACATCCTTTGCGCCATCCCCTTTCACCTAATGATGCTGATTGCTTGACTGTAGGAAGTTTTCATGCATCACCTAATTAACTTATGGAACTCATTGTCACAGGATGTGATCACAGTCATTAGTTTTGACTAGTGCCAAAACATGTCCTCTAGTTTCTTCAAACTTGTCCTCCCCTGTGGAAAAAGGCTTCAACTTTTCTGCCTCTTTTTGAGGGCCTTTTAGAATTCCTTCCTAAAAAATACTTTAAAACAAAACTGATGAACAGGCACACTGTCAACAGCCTCCCCACCTTTTCATGCTTATTACAGGAGTAGGGAATCTTCTTCAATCCAAAGGCCACATTACCTAGTGGGCAACCTTCTAGGTGCTGCATGCCAGTGGTAAGGTAAAGGTAAAGGTACCCCTGCCCGTACGGGCCAGTCTTGACAGACTCTAGGGTTGTGCGCCCATCTCACTCTAGAGGCCGGGGGCCAGCGCTGTCCGGAGACACTTCCGGGTCACGTGGCCAGCGTGACAAAGCTGCATCTGGCGAGCCAGCGCAGCACACGGAAATGCCGTTTACCTTCCCGCTAGTAAGCGGTCCCTATTTATCTACTTGCACCCGGGGGTGCTTTCGAACTGCTAGGTTGGCAGGCGCTGGGACCGAGCAACGGGAGCGCACCCCGCCGCGGGGATTCGAACCTCCGACCTTTCGATCGGCAAGCCCTAGGCGCTGAGGCTTTTACCCACAGCGCCACCCGCATGCCAGTGGTGCATGGGGCCAAAGGTAAGTGTGCAGGGCAGTTATGCAGCTTTTACCGTTGTATAACTAGAATAGACCGTGTCCCTATTTTCCATGGATGTCCCTGATTTAGAGAAGCTATCCTGGTTTCTGATTTGATCCCGGAATGTCCCACTTTTCCTTAGGATGCCCCTATATTTTTTCCTGAATAATATTGGAGGGTATGCCAGAGGTTTCAGCACAATACCTCCCCCCCTTCAAACAGGCAAGAGACATTATCACTTCTCATGGACAAATTCCAGCCAGGAAAAAATACTCTCCACTAGGGCAAGAGCAGAGCTTTATGCCCTGGACACACGGGCCTTATTTGATAGTTTTAGAATGCCCTTTCTTTTCTCAATATTTGCTGAAGAATGATTAAAGCACACAGACACAGACACACACACATACATACACGGGAAGTATTTGGAACAATGCTTGTTCTGATGGCTTGCAAAAAGAAGAAGCAGAGGAGGAAGAAGAAGAGGAGGAGGAAGTTTTATAAAGAATAGGTCTATAAAAACTGTAAGCAGTGATCCATAGATGGAACCTCCATAGGCAGAAGACTACCTTTGGATACCAGATCTTGCCTGCTGGTGCAATTCTGGAGATATCTAGCAAGCCCCTCTTGAGAACAGGATATTGGACTAGGAGATCTTTGACGGACCTTTGGTCTAATCCCAATTTTTATTCTCAAAGGGTAATGGCTCATAGCCCCTGCTTGTGTGAAATAATAAAGAAAAGGCGAGTGATGGTAGAAATGTATAAAATTATGCGTGACATGGGGAAAGGGGATAGACAACAGTTTTTCTTCCTCTTTCACAACACTGGAACTCATGGACATTCAGTGAAGTTGAGTGTTGGAAGATTCAGGGCAGATGACAGAAAACGCTTCTTCACGTAGCACATAGTTAGACTATGGAACTCGCTCCCACTGGAGGCAGTGATGTGCCAGCAACGTGAATGGCTTTAAAAGAGGTCCAGGCAAATTCATGGAGGAGGAGAGGGCTATTGATGGCTACTAGCCAGGATGGCTATGCTCTGCCTTCATGGTCAGAGGCAGGAATGCTTCTGAAAACCAGTTGCTGGAAACCACAGGAAGGAAGAGTGCGCTTGTGCTTGGGCCCTGGTTTTTGGTTTCCCAAAGGCATCTGGTTGGTCACTGTGAGAGAGGGATGCTGGGCTGGATGGGCTACTGGCCTGCTGCAACAGGTTCTTCTTATGTTCTTAAGAGAATGCCTTTGAGCATGCGCAGAGTGCCTTTCTCAAATTGCTGATGTTGAACAAGTTTGGGATTAAGGCTTAAAGTCAGGGGCTGTAACTGATACCAACTGCGAAAGTAAATTGTGGCTGGTTCCCCTGTGTGCACTCATCACCTGATGGCTGCCACATCACAGGATGAGTTGCATGTGTGAACGAGCTCACTAGTCAAGCCTCGTGAACAAACACAAAGGGAGGGAACACAGCTTAGTAGTACATGGTGTGCTTTGTGTGCAGAAGGCCCAACTGCCAACATCTCTAGGTAGGGCTGGGAAAGACTCCTGCCTGAAACCTTGGACACCTGAGCTATATGGAAAGGGCTGTGGCTCAATGGTAGAGCATGTGCTATACATGCCAAAGGTCCCAGGTTCAATCCCTGGTATCTCCAGGTAGGAGTGAGAGAGACCCTGAAGAGCTGCTGACAGTCAGTGTAAGCAATATTGAGCTAGATGGGCAAATGAGCTGACTCTATATAAGGCAGCTTTCTATGTTCCTGTGTTCCAGCACTGCCTATAAGAGGTAGGGCTGGGAAAGACTCCCTGTCTAAAACCCTGGAGAGTGGCTGCCAGCCAGTGTAGAGAGTATTGAGCTAAATGGACCAGTTATCTGACTTGGTATAAGGCAGCTCTCTGTGTTCCAGTTAGACAGCATCTTGAGAAGTAGAGACGTCACCTTGCCAACAAAGGTCCGTATAGTTAAAGCCATGGTTTTCCCAGTAGTGATGTATGGAAGTGAGAGCTGGACCGTAAAGAAGGCTGATCGCCGAAGAATTGATGCTTTTGAATTATGGTGCTGGAGGAGACTCTTGAGAGTCCCATGGACTGCAAGAAGATCAAACGCATCCATTCTTAAGGAAATCAGCCCTGAGTGCTCACTGGAAGGACAGATCGTGAAGCTGAGGCTCCAGTACTTTGGCCACCTCATGAGAAGAGAAGACTCCCTGGAGAAGACCCTGATGCTGGGAAAGATGGAGGGCACAAGGAGAAGGGGGCGACAGAGGACAAGATGGTTGGATAGTGTTTTCGAGGTTACCAGCATGAGTTTGACCAAACTGCGGGAGGTAGTGGAGGACAGAGGTGCCTGGCGTGCTCTGGTCCATGGGGTCACGAAGAGTCGGACACGACTAAACGACTAAACAACAACAACAACAACAACAACAACAACAACAACAACAACTGTGTTCCAGTGCTGCCTATAGCAAAACCCACTTGCCTCCCCCATCCCTTTTCTAGGGCCAACACTTTGAAAAGTCACCATTCAAACACCTGTCCTTAGTGCCGCCTCAGCCATGACACTTCTCTCTGCTGCAGGCCTGACCCAGCCCTCTGTCATTCTACCTTTCCTAAACATCTGATGATAATAGACTTCCTCATAATCTCACCCACTCTTCCCCTCAGTAATGTCGGAGTCCCTCAGGGTTAACAGATGTCTTTTGTTTCAAACCCTCCGTCTCCTAGAACTTTATTAAGGCCCTTTTATTTCAAAGGCCTAGCCTTCTGGGGAATGCCAAAGGGCCATTTGATGGCTCTATCAGTGCCTTTTATTTTCAACCCATCCCCTATATCGGGGTCTCTAATCTTTTGGGGGGCCTGAGGGCACATTTGGAAAGCTATCATGAGCACCACAAAATGCCCATTTCCCAGAGGAAAACCCTCCAAGATACCCAAACAACCCACACAACCCTCGACAAATAACATACAGGCAAAATAGCCAGTCAACCCTCACAAAAGGCAATCCCCCAAAGCCAAACCCCTCATTTTAAAGTTATTTTTACTAACAACAGCAGTAATAATAACACCGGGGAGAGCCAGGAGGCGGGCACTAAGGCAGATGCCCAAGGGCACCACAGTGCCCACAGATGGTAGTTTGTGGACCCTGACCTAAGTGATTCTCACGACCAGCCTCCTTTGTAAGCAAATGCGGGTCTGAGACTCTACCTGTGATCTACTCCTTAGGGCGCAAATCCTAGAGACACTAATATCAATGTGTAAGCATCTCCTTAGGGGCCAGTGTCATCTGGGGGTGGGTGGGTCGACTGCAGACTGGTGCAGGGAGAAAAGGATTAAGCCCTGCCTACAGGCCCCACGCTGAATCGGGGCCCCACACGGTTACGCTCCCCTTGAAAATGCAGCTAGCATGAAGCACGCACTAACAGTAACTTTAAAAATGGACAGATCCTTTACATGGGGCTGAATTCTGTCGACTGCAGCAAGACTTGCTTCCAAAAACTGTGCATACAATTGCATTTACTTCTTAGATCGTGAAGTCTTTTCTTTCTTTCGCACTCTCTCGTAACAGAAGGATTGAACACATGCCCAGCTTTTTCCTACTGAAGTCAAAGGTGCTTTCAAATGATCATGCCCCCATTAAAGAACTGTCAGCCTTCCACCCCCCACAAAGATGCTTTCTTTTTTTAAGTCCTAAAGACCTCCCTGCCCCCCCCGCTTTAGAGTTCAGATTCTCAGCCCCAACAGTCTCTAAGGTGCGTCAAGCCACTTACAGAAAAGCATAAGAGGGTGTAGTAGGCACTTTCTTTATAACAGACATTTAAAAAAAGCCTTTCCTTTTAAATCAGAATTGCCAACCAGGTTTGATTTGTTCTTGGGCAAGCCGTCTGGAAGATCTCTTCTAGGCAGATCTAACGACCACGGTGTTATTGGAGCCAGAGCAACGAAAACGCCTCGTTCAGATGCTATTCACTCAGAATAATCTGTGCCACTTCCTCGATCCACCGGTATAAAGTTAAATTCTACTTACCAACTCAGAATCTCCCTTGATCTGCCTTGCCAACTTCGGCCAGAGAAAAGCTGGGAAGTCTCCCTGGAGGCAAGACCCCGTACCTTTAGGGTTTATGCCATAAAACTTTCTCCCCGTCCTGCATAGGGAAGCGCCAAAAAAGCCGGGCTCATTGCACTGTAAGGAGCTGCCTTATTTTTGTGTGAGCAATAAGGGTGTGGTGCCTCTTGCGTTGTGCAAGAAGAAAGGAATCCTTTCTGAGTTGTGAAGGGGGTGGCAGAGAGAGAGGCTTCGGCTCAGCCGGTTTTCTGCAGCTGATGGGGCTGCAAAAGTGCATACGGGACCCAGAGGCGGTGTGGGACAGCCTAGCACACACAATACCCCTTTCCTTTCCCCCCTTTCCTTTGGGATGCCACACTCTCTAAAGCTGGTGTATGTCAAACAAGCCTGTTAGGGCAAGTTGCAAACTAGGTGCGAGGGCAGCTGCTCTTTGAAGATCATGATGGAATGTGGGAGGGAACAGATTAGCATAGCTGCCAATTCTTTTCTTTTTTTGTCTTAGTATTGAGATTGCACCATCAGGGTATACACAATATTTTTCTAGGAACTCTAACCAACAAGGACCCAAAGCGCAGGAGACAATAAAGGAGAGGGAACAACCACACAGCTACAGAAGGTGCTTTGGAGGTCCTAGTCCAACCCTATGCTCAAGGGGTGGGGAACAGTTTTCAGCTCAAAGGCTGCAATTCCCTTTGGGGGGCCCCACATGTCATGAGTGGGTGTGGCCAGAGGTGAATGTGGGTGGAGCAATGCAGGCAAATTTTACCTCTGTACAGTAGGCTCATTCCTACACACTCTCTCACACCCCTCTCTATCCTCCACCCATGGAAGCAAGAGACATGATCACAGTTCAAGGACACATTTTGCGTTCAAGGAGGGTGCGAAGCAGGGCACTAGGGGGCGTGGTGAGGCTCCTGGTGGCTGGATAGGCTTGGAAGGCTGCATTTGGTTGCCCATCCCTACCTTAGGCTGAAGAAGAGTTCAAGGGAACTCCAAAGCAGGCTTGCAATGTTTCTGTAAATCACAATTAGATATTTTCCAAACAGACCAAGTGTAATTTCTATGGTAGTTTATGGTGGGCTCGGTGCTATTCATCCATGTGAGGTTTCCACAGCATCCACACGGCATTATCCTAATCAAACTACTGTCCCATATGATCCCCAATTTAATCCAAATTTACCTTTTTTTGGTATTTTTGTTAAAAATCAGATTTTGCACCGAAATGGTAAATTCCAATTAAATGTTGAGCAGACGCATACCTGCATGAGCGGCACCAAAGGCACCATAAACTGCCCTGAGGAAAGACCTCCTCAAAGATACCTCCAGTTTTTATACACATACTTCAACAGGGGCTGGGAACTTTTGCATTGCATATATATCCTGATATTTTCAGCAATTATTGAAATCAATTAATCAGCTAAAGTTGATGGCCCAATCTCACTTTGGTACTGGGGAACCAATCACATCTAATAAGCAGTGTCTGCAAATGCCGACAACCATCTTTTATATTAAGGTGCCACTGGGCAATTTTTTAATTTATTTCGACTGTGTCAGACCAACACAGCTACTTACCTGCATCTTTTATATTGTGATGCTTTGGTTTGCTGCTGTTGCTGCTGCTGTTATTTGGTTGTTGTTTTTAAGGCCACATTCCCTTCAACTATTAGATAATGCTACTCAGTTTGGTTTGCTTTATTTTTCCAAATACACCACCTGAAATTAACCTCTTGCTTTGTTAATGTAAAAACTGTGCAGCTTCTCTTTCCTTCTCCTTTGCACGTACCAAGGAAACTGTATTTTGCCTAAGGATGGAGCTGTCTCCAGTAACACCTGGTTTTTAAATTTTCAAAAATTTAACATTTGTATGTTTCTTGGTCACAGCAACCTTTGGGGCGGTCCTAGATTGAAACTTGAAACTTTCATAGTACTTAGCTGAGCTGGTTTTCTGGTCACTTTCAACTTAATTTTATTGTAGCTTTTAAACCTTACTGCACACAGCCTAGAGACTGAGTTGTTAAACAGTATATAAATTGTTGAAATAGATCATACTTGAGTCTAATTGTTCAAATCTCCTGTCCCCTCCCACATTCCATCTTACAACTGGGTTTAAATCAGCCTTCCCAAACCTGGTACATTCAATATGTTTTAGACTCCATCAGCTTCAGCCAACATGGCCAGTGGTCAAGGACGATGTGCTTCATAGTCCAGAACATCTGGAGGGCACCAGGTTGGGGAAGGCAAGATTCTATAGTTTCAACATCAGTCAACCTTTCCCCCTTCCTCGTTCAGACTTGTTTGACATCTACCTGGAAGAATGTTATGAAGAACCCAAAAACATACTCACTGTTTTATGACATTTTGCTTTGCCTTCACCATGAACTTTGGTTGCTCCCCCCACCCTGCCGTACCAAGGCATCCAGCTCCATTTGTGTGTTTTTATTGTAACACTTAACTTTTTGCCAGCTGGTCTTGGGGAGCTGCCAAAGGTGGGGTATGAATCAAATCAAGAAACAAAAACTCCTCACCTGTGTCGGAATGTGCAACCAGCCAGTTAATTCAGAAAGATTCATAATCTGCATCTACACCCACAATGTGTGGAAGGTAGGAATGGAGGGATCTGCCAATTTTGGCTCTCTCAGTATCTCATATTTCCAATCTTAAATTCAGTTTTCCATATATCTGCAGCAATTTGTACATTTTAGTTAAAATAATCCTCATGAAAATTCATCTGCATTTTAGTGTGAATTTCTCCCAATAAACATGCACTTGTAGCAGTTTGGACTAATATATACATTTTTGCACATACTTTCCTCTTATATTACACATTTTTGTATGATATTTCATGAATATATGCATTTAGCCTAGCATATGCTATTTTGGGTACAAATTACTTGGCCAGAGTACTACATTGCAAAATTCAGAGAAGAGCAAAAATTTCAATGGATGGATGTGTTTTGGTTGGAAAGTGCTAATTTGGGATGTTCACCTTTAAATTAAACTTCTCTGTCCCTAGTGGAGGACTCCTCCTACATAAAGGCAAGTCTTGCTTGATAAAGGTGAGAGTCTTATTTTAAAAGTGATTCTCAAAAACTGCATTTGAAAAATTCAGATTTCTGATTAGAATTTTGAAAATAGGTCATTTTAAAATATTCTTTTAATTGTCTCTAGCAATAGGCAAATCTGACAATTTTAGCTTCTCTTCGTTTTTCAAGTCCCAGCCTCAAGTTCAGCTCTTCACATTTCCACATTAGTTTGAGAATCATGAAAATTTGCTAGCATTTTATAGGGAATTTCTCCTAATAGGTACATTCTTTTGGTATCTGATTTTGCCTAAACTACAAATTTTGCAATGCAAATTTCTCCAGGGTAATGCATTTCTGTCTACATTCCTCATTGCTATATACATTCTTATGCACACACTACCCCAGTATATGCATTTTTGTACACACTGCTTGGCTAGAGAACTGCAAGGCAAATTTCAGAGAAATGTTAATTTGGAAGGATGACTGTATTACACGTCTTGTTTCAGAAAGTACAGATCTGGTAGGTTCACCTTTAATTGTGGACTGAATTGAATTTCTTACCTATCCCTACTTGCCACTGAGCCGTCTTTCTTTCTTTCTTTCTTTCTTTCTTTCTTTCTTTCTTTCTTTCTTACAAAACAAAACAATTTTGGCTGAGTTTCAGTCACTCTGGCAAAAGTTTATTCTCCTTGTGAGTCACCACCACCTTGCCTCCCTGAGAGGTGGTAGAGGACAACTCAACTAACAGTCCCAAGTTTCAGTTGATGCTAGAATTCTTTCTTTAATTAAAGAGTGCTTAATTAAGGATGCCGGTTCCTTTTGTGGCCCAGCCCAGCTTGTTTGTTCCACAGTGGAGCGTGGGATGAAGACCATGTCTTTTCTTCTTCCTTCTCATCCTCTCGCCTTTGAGGCAAGAAGGGCGTGTGTTCATTCTGCCTGTACTGCCAGTTATTGGCTTCTCCAAGTGAGCCAAAGTTGAACACACCCTTAGTTCTTAATGCCCATGTGTTGCTAGGCAGGATTTTAACAACATTGTTTTTCCGGGATGAATTCTGAGTCTTCAAGGATGGGCCTGGGCTTGGGCTGAGTGGTGGAGGACATGTTTTGCATGCAGAAGGTCCCCGTTTCAATCCCTGGCAGCACTAGGTAAGGCTGGGAGAGACCCTTGTCTGAAATCCTGGAGAAGCACTGCCAGTCATTGTTGATAATACTGAGCTACAACGGACTGGCTTGCTATGTTTCTATCTTTTATCATCTCCTGGTCCTCAGTTTTAAGAGCAGCTTAAACATTAGCTGCATTGTTATGCATACCCATCACGGTGGTTTCTGCCAATAGGATGCAAGCCCCGCCAGTTCCCCACCCCACCCTGATTGGCTGGCAACCCAGTGCCTGAGGGGAAAGGTCTAGCCATGGTGTCAATGAGAGAGCTCATCCTATTCCCACCCAAACTATCCTCATTTCGATGGTCCTGTCACCTACTCTGTGGCATACAACAAGGTTTTATGATGCCAGCCATGTTTTCTACTTTCACAGATGACAGTCCTCTGCTTGAAGGGCTCAGGAGGCACCCCAACCATGACTCAGCCAAAAATACGCCAGTACAGTGGTACCTCAGGTTACGAACTTAATTTGTTCTGGAAGTCCGTTCTTAACCTGAAACCATTCTTAACCTGAGGTACCACTTTAGCTAATGGGGCCTCCCACTGCCGCCATGCCACTGGCACACAATTTCTGTTCTCATCCTGGGGCAAAGTTCTTAAGCCGAGGTACTACTTCCGGGTTAGTGGAGTTTGTAACTTGAAGTGTTTGTAACCTGAAGCGTCAGTAACCCAAGGTACCACTGTATAACTTGCTCATCCTGGCTCAGCCTGCTGAACTAAAGGTGGCTGAGCCAAAGACAGTGTAAGTTTCAAAAAAGGGATGTTATGGGGGCCAGAGGCGAAGCAACGTGCTCCGGTACCCAGAGTGGCACACGTCCCAGGGGGCCTGGTGTGTGTCCCGGGGGGTGCTGCTGCTCGGGGCCTGGCATTTTTTCACCCCCACTTGGAATGGTACCTGGGGTGGACTGCCCCCCGTCCCCCTTGGAATGCCCCTCATGGGGGCATGGCAGAGGCAGGACCAGAGAGAGAGAGGGTTTAGATCTGGTGCAACATTTTGCCGTCTTAATTTATACCAGCTTGCTTAGTACCAACTTCCTGTGCAGATGATTGCTCCCCTAGCTGCAAATTTATACTTTATATATGCACATAATTGCAGCGTGTGGCTCATGGGGTGCTATAGGTAACACACTTCCCTCTGATCCACCATTTTTGGGCCTGGCTCCCCAATTCCAGTCACTATTTTGAACTTGACTCTTGCTGGTGGACCTCAGGACTCCTCGGGCTGGGTGGAGGGGAAACACCTCTGGCCTTCTTCAGATGACCTGCTAATTTAGCAGCCACCCTAATTTCCTCATGCAGAACTTGCACAGAAGTCAGATTATATCTTGACTTTGTCAAGCATCCATTGTGATTGTTTGCAGGGCAGTTAAATGATAATGAGCACTT